AGCAAGAGAAGTAGATTCATATGGCCTGCACACCATCTCCCAGTGGCTGTACCACTTAAACTCTGGAGTAAGGATGACTCAGCAAAATGTAAAACATGGCTCCATAAGGACCATTTACAAGCAGGTACCTATCTATGCTTTGGGTGATGTCTAAGACAATGGTTCTCAACTGGGGAGCAATTTTACCCACTAGAGGATGTTTGGCAATGTCAGGGATTGTTTTTGATTGTCTTAAGTTCAAGACTCTGGGAAGAAGGAAATGAGAAGCAAGGGATGGCTGATGTTACTGGCCTTTAGTAGGTAGAGGTGGATGCTGCGGATCACCTCACAGTGAACAACCCAGCCATTCCAAACAAAGAATTATCCAGTCCAAAATGTCCAATGTCTGGAATTTTAGAAGCCTGACCAAATGTAACTGGTTTTAAGATTGTGATTACAAATACAATATTATCACTTTAAAAAGTGAGATCTAAAAATATTAGAACTGGCAGAGTTCAGAGAGAAACTGATAATTCTCCATTGTCTGGCAATATAAAGGTTGGATCCTCCAGAATTTTGGTTCTTTGGGCTTATCTTAGTTCTAAAGTATGGCTAACTGTTTTAACATTGAGTCTCCCTAAAGCATTCCTATGGGATTTGAAACAACAGTTTCAGAGATGGGCTTCCTGCACTTGAATTCTAGCTTTGCCATTTGCTAGCTTAGACAAGCTACTTAACCTCTGAGATTGAAGTTCTTCATCTGTTAGGTGGAGATAGAGAGGAAGCAACCTTTATGAGAGAAGAGAGAGGGACAAGCTAATCACAGTCGAGTGCGAGTGCTTGGCCTAATACCTAAAATAGTACTAGTGCTCCTTAAATATTTGCTATAGACCTTTTCATTGTTTTAATTGCTTTCTCTCAGATGACCCGGATCTTGTGTCTAATACCCCAGAAAGAACCTCAATTGTTCCTTGGTTACTTCTATGCCTGGCAGATGTGGAAGGCCCAAGACTCTCAATGCAGTGCTCTTTGCAGGTGGCCCTAGGAATAAAAAGTCAGCACATATTGCAGAATGCAGAGCATGAGCCACTTTTATCTAGGGTGCTTTCTTTCTCCTGCCCTTTTCCTGTCTGTGATTTTTTTTCCCCAGTAGAGTCGATAAAAGTGCCAAAAAAAAAAAAAAAAGCTTTTCCATGCAAGATAATATCAGGAATTGAACTAACATTACCAGTCACCTCATTTGCATTTCACAAATAATAAGCAAAAATGGATTGTTAAATTATAAGTCTAATATTATAGTGCATGGATAATAAAAGGAGTAAAACTGCATGGAGGCAGAAAACAGTTTCTGCTACTAAGGAGGCACGAAAGAGAAGTCAAGAAAGGTGCTAGAAAGAAAGAATCACACTGAATTTGAAAAAAAAAAGTTACATAAAAATTTTTAAAAAGCAGACTCAAAATGTGTTTTTTAAGTAAGAAAAATGGATGGGTCTTAAATGGAAATGGAAATTCAACATAATCCAAAATGTCACAGAAATAATGGGCTAAGGGAGAACAGATGTTAAAACTTAAATTAAAAAGGTGTGGGTGAAGAAGAAAAAGAAAGCAAGGGGAAAATATAGACAGAAGGGGAGAAAAGAGGCAGCATGGTGTGATGGAAAGACACTGACGGAGCCAGGGTCTGGCCCAAGTCTTAGCTCTGGTGTGTCTAGTCTGTGACATACACAAAATACTGATCTTCCCTGGGCCTCAAATGAGCCCCATGAGGCCTGAGCTAGATGTATTCTGTTATGTCTGAGACATCCTGGGCCTGTCCTGGCTAACTGCTGGGGTACAAGGTAGATCAGGGGAGCTGGAATCTGGAATTGGGCCTGCCTAACAGGGTGGGACAGCTTGGTGCCAGGCTGACTGAAAGAGGCAGAAGGAATTTCTAGAGGGTGCAAAAACTATGATGGGCACTAGGGGGCTGAAGCCGTGATAACAACACTTTCCCCACAGGTGGCCCAACTGCAGTGATAGAAATTTAGGAGCAGGTGAGATAAGCAAGAGAGTTGGCATTGTGGAAATCGGCAGCAAGGCCCACGTTCCTGGATTTAGGTTTGGGGACATGTCTCTGCTCCTCAGGTGTGACACCCTCACAGGACAATTTGGAGCTGGAGACCTAAGAGGACTCAGAGAAAGAAGATATGTATCCAGCTGTAAGAACTGGAGAATGAGGTAGGTATCCAGTCACAGACGTGAGGACATGAGCGGGCTCCTCTATCAGGAGACAGGCAGAGCTGAAACCATAGGGAAGAGATAACAAGGATCAAGGGTGCCAGTCATGGAGACGCTGAAGAAGTTCTCTCAAGCTCTGATATTTATTCACCCAGTATAAGCAGAGGTTAAATGCTGTTCTTATTTTTTTTAATACCTTTATTTGATTTGTTTATTTTTTTTCCTGTGGTGCTAAAGATCGAACCCAGTGTCTTACATGTGCTAGGCAAGCACTCTACCGCTGAGCCACAACACCAGCGTTGTGCTTATTTTTGGTCAAGTCTTATTTCCTCCTTTAACAACTCTGTGATATTGGATAAGTAATTTAACATGTTGACTTTCCATTGTAAGATAAGTTTGAGGGACTCTCAAAAGGTTTTTGTAAATTATGTAAATATTTTCTTGATACAGTATCAAGCACAAAGGATATGCTCAATCACTGATGCAGTCATCATTCATTCATTCAATATGTATTCAAAAATGTGCCATCTTGAAAGTCTTTATGTCAAGCAAGATGGAATGATTTTTGTCGTTATTTTAAAGAAACTAGGGTGCTCACTACAACAGAAACAGGTTTGTGGGAGAAATTGGGGAGTCATTTTGCTCTGGGGAATGTGGAAAGCAGCTGGAGAAGCTCATACTGGAGCATATAGTGCAGAATGATTCCAGCTTTAGAGTGGAAAGGAAGCTGGTTAAGATGGAATAACACAGCAAATGTTATTTGCTGTTGTCAGGACTTCTAAGCTTACAGCAAGATACCAAAGGACCTTGCCAGCTCCGTCCCAATGTGCGTCACCCAATTCTTTTGAATTCCACCAATGACTAAAGCATCCATTCCTTAAAATGCAGGAATCTGAGTTCCATTTGGTTCTGCTTCCCCAAGATCCACTTTCAAACTCATTCTTTGTGGCTACATGAAAATACATGAAGTAAATTCTGAGGTTCTAAGTGGTTCCAGAACTATCCAGGATTCTCCAGAGCCCTGGTGGCTTCCACTTGAAAGCGACAGTGTAAGTAAATGGAACCAGGATGGCTACACACAGTTGTTTTCTCTTCAGGGAAGTCAACCTGGGGACAAGAAAGGGGAGCTCTCCTGAGAGCTAACACAAGGTGCTTTCCATATGCATTTTGTAGTTCAGGCCTCACCAGGAACCTGAGAACTGACCCTGTGTCCACTTGTGGTAGATGAAGTCTAGAGGCCTAATAATTTTCTCTGGGTCACCCAGTCCATAAGAAGGGGTGACTGGGGCTTGTGTGTATTTCTTCTTTCATTTATAAAGCAGCAGTCCCTCCCCTCTGTTTCATTCCAGTGTAATCTATGCACATGTAAAATAATCACTTCTTCCTGTAGGAAGTGTCAGTCCTCCAAGCAAAGAAGAAAAGCCTGCAGCATATGTTACCGACACATGTTTTCACTAGTCCTGTCTCTGTTCTGCCTGCTGTGGCAATCAGCTCTTGCAAATACTGTCACTTACCAAATACAAAAAGCATGTGAGTGCCCAGCCAATGGCCTGGGATAAACACAGCCAGGCTTTCTGACTTGGAACGTCCACCCAGAACAGGGGCTTTGTTTCAAAAGAACAAAACAAGTCTTGTATCATCAACATCACTGGTGGAGGAGAGAGAAGGGACAGTGAGGGTAGGAGAAAGACATGGACCCAACCCAACAAACTGTTTCAGAGTCTGCCTGAAGGGAAATTGATAGATTTGATAGTGGGTCTGCTCAATCCAGCCAAGCTAAAGATGGGTAGGGCTCAAAAACACGGCTGGAAAAGTTGGTATCTGGCCAAATGGCTAAATAGCCAGTTGGGGGTCTGAGAAGCACATGCACAGAAGGGCTTTGAGCTCTGCCTCTTGGCGGGATGCCCACCCATCAAGTTCTCCCAGAGGGGGGAGTGGGTAATGGGCACTCCTAATCCTAGAAGCACTTGACAGGTAGGCTTGCTGCCGAGACCCCATCCCCCACGCCCCCAACCCCGCCTTTCAGGTGCCAGACTGCACTGTGGCTGCACCAACAAGGGACAAAGGAGGGGAGGCTGGCACCTGTAATGGGGAGCCTGTCATCTCATGGCAGGGAATGTGTTTGGTGTTTCCTGGTCTGGAAAATGTGGCACATGAAGACACTGTCCATGGTGGGCAGACTGTGGCGAGTATTGGCTGGGGTCAAGAGAGCATAGTTCTGGGGATCTCGAGTCTGCTGCAAGTTCAACACTTTCTAGAGAGCAGGTGCTAGGCACAGTTACATAGTAAGCTAGAAAGAAATGATGGGCATGTATGGTTCTTGGGCAAAGAAAAAGAGCATTTAGAGATAGAGTCACAAGAGAAATCTAAACTAAACTGACTCCCCTGAGGACCTCTGGAATTGCTGAGGAGACATCTAGGATTCTGTTCATACAAGGACATGTGAACCTTCTAGAAGAAGCAGGAGAGAGGACTTTTGGAACTGATGTAGATTTTACAATTCATAGAATTATGGTTCTTAAACAAGAATGAAAACCACAGTTGTTAAACCCTTGGAAACAGAGCCCAGGGAGGATGCCCCCCCACCCCCTGGTAAGAATAAGATGGCCCTGGGCTTCCTTCTGAATCCTAGGCCTCATTGATGAGGGACATGCCTAGGTAACTTTCAATACCCTTATTTCAGTAACAGGTATATAGGCTACGCCTCAGCATAAGGGCCTTTAGGGCCACTTCATTTGCGAAAGAAACACGATTGATTTAGTTAACTTTTTCCTTGCTGTGACAAAAAGACCTGACAGGAACAATTACAAGAGGAAAAGTTTATTTTGGCTCACAGTTTCAGAGGTCTCAGTCCACAAATGACTGACTTCATAGAACTGGGCCCAAAGTGGGGCAGAGAACATCATGGTGGAAGAACATGGCAGAGGAAAACAGCTCAGGATATAGCAACAGGGAGCAGAGAGAACTCCACTCACCGGGGACAAAATATAAACTCCAAAGGCCTACCCCCAGTGACCTATCTCCTTGAGCCATACCCTGTGTGCCTACAGTTGCTACCCAGTTAATCCATATCAGTGGATCCACTGATAAAGTTATACCACATACTCTAATAACTTCACTATCTGAAAATTCTTGCATTGTCTCATGCATGAGCTTTTAGAGGACACTTTATATCTAAACCATAACAGATCCTGAGCAACCCCAGATGCCAAATTTGAGCACTTAACATTGGGAGGCAGAGTGGTACTCAGGGCTGGGGAGGCATCTTCCATTCATTTTGCTGCATCACAGAAGACCAGGTGACTGGAATGAAAAGTCTGAGATTCAGTCCTCACTGGGTTATTATAAGGGTTGTACATTTCCTCTCATCTACTAAAATAGGAACAAAAATTATGCAGTGATACAGAAGATCATTAAAAAAATGATGTGTAATGATAAAGACCCAAAGAAATATAAATGAAATAATTATTTTTTCAGAATGAGAATTCTGATTATTTCATTTTATTTATTTATTTGTTTATAGGCCCAATGGCATCATGTATACCTTAATTACTAACTCATTAAGCTTTCTCTTTTAGTCAGCTCTGCATCTCTGTGATCAAAAGACCTGAGAAGAACAAGGTAGAGAAGGAAAAGTTTATTTTCATCCATGGTTTTGTGGTTCAGTCATCCTACTCTGTTACTCTGGGCCCAAGGTGAAGCAGACCATCATGGCAGAAGGCTGTGGCTAAGGAAAGCAGCTCAGGCTATGGCCAACTCAAAAGAAGAGAGCTCTGCTCACCAGGGACAAAATAAAAACCCCAAAGTCTCACTGCATGTGACCTATTTCCTCCAACCCCGCCCTACCTGCCTACAGTTCCCATCCATATTGGTGATTTAATGCACTGAGTAAGTTGCAATCTCTTATGATCTAATCATATCACCTCTGAAAATTCTTGCACTGTCTCATGTATGAGCTTTGGGGGAACATCCATCTCTAATCTGTATCATTTCCAATTTCCATAATATCCGTGAAGCAAAAATTACCCCAGCCACTTAAACTTGCTTGTTGTTAGCATGACAGAGTACTGGGTGGGCACTTGGCTTAAATAGACTTCATTCTAGTGTGCTATGATTTATATGATATATAGCTGACAACCTCTTACAGAGACTTCCTGAGGGCAGGAACCATCTTTTCCTGACCAATTTCTAGCTCAGGGTCTGATACAGAATTAGTGATCAGTATATTTTTTGAATTCAATAAAATTTATCAATTTAGTTGCTTTTTAACATTTCTGTGTGTGAATCATTCACTCATGCATTTGGCAAAAAATTGTCAAGAACCTGCTGTGTGCTAGACCCTGTGTCATGAACTGGGTATACAATGCTAGAACATACGACTGCAAAAGCAGCATGTTTGCAAACCTTCCTATGTGATGGGAAAGTGTCCCTGAGGAAATGGAATTTAGAGTGAAATTTGAAGGAAGAATGAGGATTAGAATGTTTAAGACAGACATTAAATAGAACATTTACATGTGTTACTATGTGCTACACACTGTTCTGTTGGTTTTATATGTATACCACTTTCATTTTCACAACCAAGTAATAGAACTACTTTTGTTAAGCCTAATTATAAGAGAGAGAAAATCAAGGTGTGACTGGTCAAATAATTCGCCCCAGATCATAGAATCAGTGAATGATGGGGTTTACACTTTACAAGCTGGCTCCAAAGTCAGATCCACACAATATGAAAAAATAGCTTGTGCAAAGGCCCTTTGCATTAGTAGTAACTAAGAATAAGGTCTACGCACACTGAAGCTGGCTAAGCTAGCTGCCATCATATCAAAACGTCTTTCCGAACAGCTCTTCTTTCCAAAGAATAATTCTGGTGAGCATGAATGTCTTCCGTCCTGTCCCATCTGTAAGGCACCTGCCCAATACTGACACACACATGCTTTTTGGAACCACTGAGGATAAACAGCCCAAAACAAGTGAGTAAGGACAAGTGTCCACTGTATGGAGTGTTCAGCAAATATCTCAATGAGGAAGTTTGTTGACATCCATCTTACACAATACCTAGTCACTTCTAGAAAAAAGGAGAGCAAAGAATGAAACAGACTGACCCAGTGGTTTCTCTGTTGCATCTGGTAACTGCAACTCACAGAGTAAGGAAGTACTTAGGCAGACAATGCCCAGCCTTCTGCCAGAATGGCAACACCAAGGGGTTTTTCATGGGCACTTAAAATTGGTTGTCAACAGAAATGCAAATTGAGCCCATCTTTGTCTTGAAGCCATATGTCCTCTGGGAGAGAAAACATTTTCCTGCTGAGACTGCTGTTCAGAGTTTACTTGGTTACATCTTGAGAGCACACTGTATGGAAATCAAGGGGGGCAGTAAAAGGACAAGGAGAACACCCAGAGTCACAATCTTCAGAAAGAGAGAAAAATAATTTGCAAGCTGGTAAGCAGCAGATCACCTACAGTAATGCAAGGAAATCTACTTTTCAGTGCTGGCTGACCACGATTTCACAGTGGCATTGCTTATTGCCCATCATTTCCAGAGAATCTCACTTGCTGCTTGATCTCATGTACTGCCTTTCAATTTAAAAAAAATTTTTAATTTATATATGACAGCAGAATGCATCACAATTCTTATTACATATATAGAGCACAATTTTTCATATCTCTGGTTGTATACATAGTATATTCACACCAATCCGTGTCTTCATACCTGTACTTTGGATAATAATGATCATCACATTCCACTCATTAATTACCCCATGCCCCCTCCCTTCCCCTCCCACCCCTCTGCCCTATCTAGAGTTCATCTATTCCTCCCATGTTCCCTCTCCCTATCTCATCGCCTTTCAATTTTCAAGCAATGTTTTTCTCTCTGCTTAAAGCAGTTTTGTTGTTGTTGTTGTTGGGTTGTTGTTGTTGTTGTTGTTGTTGTTGTTTTACAGTAAACTCCTAGGGTTGTTCCATGAAACAACAAGGAAGATCAGGTGGAGAGCACTTGTTAGAGCTCAGAAGGGGCCCAGGTCCATCAGAGTCAAAAATGACTGGAGGTCCAGAATAGCATCCCGGACCTGGAATCACCAAGGAGTAACACAGAGGCCCAAGGGCTCAGCACCGTGGCCATGCACTGAAGAACACAGCTTTGAAATTAAATTGCCTGAACTTTTCTAGTTCTGCCACTTTCTAACTGTGCCAAGAGTTCACTTAATCTAACGAGGCCTTTGTCTCTCAAAAGTGTAAGAAAGAGGGCAAGGAAATTCACTGAGGAAATGCTTATAAAATACTTACCATAGTACCTGGCTAAAGTTAAAGTCAGGTTAAATTATTAAAATAAGAGGACAAAAGGCAGGAACTAGAGCTGTTTTAATTAGTTTGGGCTGCTATAATGAAATACACTGGGAGGGCTTAAATAATAAAAATTTGTTTCTCTTAGTTCTAGAGGCTGTCAAATCCAGGGTCAAGGAACTGGCAGTTTCAGGGTCCGGTGAGGACATACCAGACAGCTATCTTTCTAGGGTACCTTCACATAGCAAAGGGGGAGCTGGCTTTCTGGGATTTTTCATTAATTACAGTAATAATGTTAATCATGAGGGCTGTGTCCTCATGACCCAGTTACCTCCCAAAGGATTCAACTCCTAATCTCACCACCCTGGGAGTTGGGATTTCAACACACGAATTTGGGGGGAACACAAACATTCAGATCATAGCAGGAACCAAGGTTAGAGTACACTGTATAGAAATCAAGGCGGGCACTAAAAGGACAAGGAGAACACCCAGAGTCACAATCTTCAGAAAGAGAAAAAAAGAATTTGCAAGCTGATAAGCAACAGATCACCTACAGTAATGTCAGAGGGGCATTGCTCATTGCCCATCATTCCCAGAGAATCTTACTTGCTACTTGATCTCATGTATTGCCTTTCGATTTTTTAAAAATATTTTTTAGTTATAGGTGGATGCAATATCTTTATTTCTTATTCTTTTTATGTGGTGCTAAGAATTGAACCCAGTGCCTCATGCGTGGAAGGTGAGCGTTCTAACTCTGAGCCACAACGCCAGCCCTTGTCTTTCGAATTTTAAGCAATGTTTTTCTCTCTGCTTAAAGCAGGTTTTTTTTTTTTTTTAACTCCCAGGGTTGTTCCATGTGCAACAACAAGGAGGACCAGGTGGAGAGACTTGTTAGAGCTCAGAAAGGGCCCAGGTCCATCAGAGTCAAAAAGGACTAGAGGTCTAGAACAGCATCCCTGACTTGGATTTTTTAATAATAGGTAAATGATAGCAACAGATAGATAATAGCAATGGTAGACCAATAAAGTATATAGGTTAGCAGTTAGGTTAAAGTAGATAATATGGGAAATAAACATAGGTGAGTCAGAATCATGGGACATACTTATTCCAGCTTGATTACTTTGAGCAGGGAAAATCCAGGACCTGAATTCAAGACACTAAATTATTAATAATGAACACCACTAATTGAGCATTACTACATGCCAGAAACAATCCTAAGTGTTTTAAATAACTTGTTTAACTATAATCCCTATAAAACTTTAGTTGTTGTATCCTCATACTGCCTAGCTCAGTGCCTGGCACACAGTAGATGTTCACTATTTTTTGACTGAAATATTTTGAGCATTCTAAGGTTGTCCCTTTTGAATGCTTGGCAATTCCAACATGAAGACAATATTATCAGCATTTGACTTTTAACCACCTGAAGCATAGTATGACATGCATATGTGACCAAATCTGTTACAAAGACCTGCCTACATTGATGAAAAAACTTTTCTACTTTGGCCTAGATTAAAGGAAAGCAGCAAAAAGCCAATAATGTGTCAAATGGGATATTATTTAGAGAAATTGCTTTATGTTTTTCAGGCACACAGAGCTAGACTGAAAAATATTCTTCTTGGCACATATATAACAAAGTAATTAAAGGAGTCAACATTCAAAACAAGGAAGTGAAAATCTGAAACAGGCAACCAGACAAATAAAACAAGAGAACAGCTTCAGCTGGGAAGGGAAATACCAACTATTAGAGCTGTCTCTAGAAGCCAGAAATGGAATGCTTTATAGTAATTCCTCCTAGTACATTTTCCTTTAAAAAAGGATCCTCAATATTTCTAATGTGAACAATTTTATATATACTCAAGCTAAGAATTAAAATTTTTCCCAGAAAAATTCAGGCCTAGGATAGCCCCCAAATCTTATTATAACCATTAGGTAACATTCTATCAATACACCCCCATGCTGGGTCTTTGGGATCTCTTTCCCATTTACGGGACACTTGCCATTAAAAGGCAACTCTATGTGATATAAGATACTTCCCTGGGAGTATCTAGCAAAAAAAAAAAGATGTTTATTGTTTCAGAACTATTACGTCAGTCAACGACTATATGTTTGAACACCCATGAAAATGTTCATATAATTGATAGTATCACTTCTCACATTAAGTTTTTTGATAACTCCAATGAACTTTTTTCCTTGGAACATCTAGCTAACTCATAGTTCAACAATTACCATTTGGGGGCAGTGCCTAGGAAGCCACAGTCACTCAAGGGGATAACTACCTACTTTAATTCACTCCTAAATACAATCATTCACACATACAAATCACAAGATTTCAGTCATGATCCAACTAGAAAAACAGAAGCCATCTTATGTGTTTACAAAAGAAGGTATTTTATCCAGCTGGCTGGTTACACAAAACGATTGAATACTTAAGAAATCACCTAGGAAAACAGATTAGCAACCCTGAGATTAGCAATATCAGGAAGTTGTTGTTTCCCATAAACTAGAGGAATTAAAGGAGATTGGGAGAACCCAGAAGCAGACATAACTGAGTGAAAGCCAGGAATACTCTGCATCTATTCAGAAGGAAGATGGCTCCCAACACAAAGAGAAAACGAAATAACAACCCAGCTTCATTCTTCTTTCTATTTATATTCTTGTTGATGTTTTCCCATTGGTCAAACCTAACAAGAAACAAGTTAACAGAGGATTTGGGAAATACAGCTTTCAGATGTTAGTCACCCTGTAGAACTGAGCAGGGCAGGGAAAGGAGTATGAAATGTATCTGGTTTTGATAGGCCAAGTGCTAGCATGCTCCCTTCCTCCCCAAACTTGATTCCAAGATCAGAATTGTTACTGAAGCTAACTGAATCAATGAAAAATTAGTAAGGCCAGCCACTTATAAGATAATTTAACTTTTCAAGTCTACTTGAATCTAAGAATCTAGGGTATCTTTCAATTTGATCATGGTACATTATAGAAAAAGATGGGAGTCTTGCTATGTGTTAGGGTCTGTGTTTGATGCTTTTCAAACACCTACCTTTATCTTTACATCAATTTCATAAATTTATTATAGGGTGCAAGGTTATGCATATCAATTCACTTCACAAACGAAGAAACTCAATAAGATGGCTACATTGTCTGGTTTTATATAATGGTAATGTAAGTTAAAATTTTCATTGACAATATGCAATCTAAATACACCTGATATAAAGCTCCGGTCTACTCAATTGCTTTTTATTCTGCTGTTTTGATTGGAAAGAGAGGAGGAATGACCTGAACTAAGGAATATTATATACACACATGACTTTCAAACTAACAGAAAAACTGAAAAATATCAACTAATTGAGAACAAAAGGAAAAACAATATGAAAAAGAAGTAACATTAGAAAACACATTGTGAGATGATAGATTTAAACCCAAATATATCACTGATTCTATCAAATTAAATGAACTAAAAGTACCAACTAAATGATAAAAGATTATCAGATTAGATAAAAATATCAATTTGACAATATTCTGTTAACAAATGAATCATAGAAAACAGAATAAAGAAATAATAGTAGGAAAAGTTATACTATGCAAACACTAACCAAAATAATTAACAACTATATTAATACCAAAAAAATCATTAAAAATAAAAAGGATCATTTCATAATGATAAAGATTTAATCAGTATCAAATATTAGATAAGACTGAGTTTTTATACATTCAACATTTTATGTTCGAATATATATATATATATTATTTTATAATACATAAAGAAAAACTGATAGAAGTATGAGAAGAAACAAGCAATCATTATAATACTAGGACATTTTACATATCTTAGTAATTGATAGATAACCAATCAGGATGAATAGAGAATCTGTGAACAGTATGTTAACAAACTTGACATAGTGGATGTCTATAGAACAATACTGCCAATAATTGCCATAGATGTCTAACCTAGTGGAGCACACAGTAAGCCTACACTAAAAATTGCCATATATTGAACCACAAATTAAGACAAAGGCATTCTTCAACTCTATATTGTGGGTTTGAAGTTTTGGTTTTATTTATTTATTTGCTTTGGTGTGGTTTTTTTTTTTCCTTCCCCTGTTTGTTTTCATCTTTGTGTTTCATTTTGGAGACTTTAAAACATATATGTCATCTTTGGTAACTTAATCTCTTAATACTTCATAATAAAACACCACAGACTTAGTATTAAGCTTCAAATATGGGAGGCAGGGCTTTAATTCTTCACTGGGGATCCCACTCTTCTGTGGTCTTTGGGAAGGTTCAGTTACAGTGAGAAGAATCCTTCAATCCCTGTTTTCTCATATGCACACTTAGAATAATTGTTGTTGGCTCACAGGGCCATTGTAAGGGTCAATGAGATAATCCATATCACTTCCTTAACATGGTTCTTGGCATGTTGAAATATTCAATATATTAGCTATTATTATTCAAAGTTTTCAGGTACTCTTGGATTTCAATATTGTTGCTTCAATATGTTCACAATCCCCAAATGTATATAGGCAATCATCTCCTTACCATGCCACACAGATGAATACCAGGCATATTGAGATTACATATCTCCATAAGGGCACCACCACCTTTACACTTGCTCAAACAGGAATGCCATCCCACTCTTTATCTTCTTTATGCTTGTCTTTGGCCTTTCTCCCCAACCACCACAGAAGCTGCTAGATGGCAAAGAAGTTTTCCATCATCTTCTATGTGGTTAAGGAAGTTGTGCCCCTGCACTGAGACTGAATCACTATATAAAATACACTAAGGCATTGAGATAAGGAATAATTAGATGCACTTAACAAAGAAAAATGGAATTCACTTAGCACTGAAGTTGCAAGCCTTTATTCTTTAAAATTGGAATTTGTTTCTAACTCTTTAAACTTCTATTTGTTTTTCTTTCTTTCTCTTTCCCCAGTCTTTCTTCAATCCATCCTTATTTACTTCCAGATAGAGCCCCACTAACCATTTGGATTTTGTATCATGTCCCATTCCCCTCATGATATTTGCTAGTGAGGGCTCTACCTATTCTCCAATTACCATGCCCTGACTGTCATTTCCTGGGGTTCTGGGCATCATAAAATATCCTTGGATTCTTCACAACAGACTGTTGAATTTGGAATTGTAGACTCTCATTCAGATATTTTTGGCTTTTCCTTTTAGACTGCACTGTTAGGCCTTTGGGGCTTCATGTTGTTTATTCTTGGAGACTTCCTGGAGCGTCAAAATGGCTTAAAATGATTACTATGCTATGCATTGGCATAGATGACATTCAATCGCCCTACACTGAGCAGAATTTCAATGAGTTTTGTGTAAATGAATTGGAAACATATGGATTTCATCCTTCTTAGCTACCTCCAGTTTTTTAAAAGCAGGAACTCAGGAATTGTGTCTTGCTGAATTAAAATATTGAAGCTGAGACATGGCAAATCAGAGTGATACTGACTTTTCTCTTATTCTTGATAGCCACCTTGGGTCTAGTATCATCCAAGTTCACTATGATGTGCTTGTTAATTTCTGCTCCATTTCACTCTCTTCTTTTGCCTTTGGATTTTCTTTCCTTAACTATAAGTCCCTATTTATCTCTCCTTGCCCCCATACATCTGTACTATAAATAGTTACTTATGCCCTACCTGTGCTCACAACCTGGAGAGGGTGACCTGACCAGGGAATTCCAACATGATGTGAACGTGCCACAACAGAGGGACTCTGACCTCGGTTTTGTCTGTTTCTCCCTGCTCTATGACCTGAAAGCTTTTGAGTCCCCTCCCAAAATTCTTATGTTGAAACCTAATGTCCATTGTGACAGCGTTTGGAGGTGGAGGTTTGTGGGAAGTGATGAGGACCTGAGAGCAGACCCATCAGGAATGGAATTAGAGACTATACAGGACACCTCAGAGTTCCTTTGCCCCTTCCATCTACGAGGATACAACAGAAAGGTACCACCTTGAAACCAAGAAGGCAAGAAGCAGGTCTTTAACCAGACACTGAGACCACAGGTACCTTTATCTTGTACTTTCCAGCTTCGAGAACAATAAGAAATAAATTTTGTTGTTCCTAAGCCACCTAATGCATGGTATTTTGTTACAGCAGCCTGAACAGCCTGAGACACTCCCATCTGAATGTTCTGTTACCACACTGGCTGCTTTCCAATCCCCTATTGTGAAAATAACTTTAAAAAAAACTCCATCTGGTACTGCATATGCAGGAAAGGTTTGACGCTTTACTCTCCTTGACTCATCTCCATTGTGGAATTGCCAGGTTCTCTTTGGGTACTCTTAAGCTGTCTCAGTTTTCTGTAGGCCTTGAGAGAGCAGGGCCAGCTCCTCCTAGGGCATAAGCAGTACTAAGATTCCCAATTGCACAGCACAAACTATGTGGCCATGACAAGACAAGATAGATGAAATTCTATTACAATGACAAAACAGAACCAAGTGTTGAATTACCTATGTAGGTAGATATCTGTAATAGATACAGTCTATAGGACAGTCAGACACTTCTATTAATATCGTCTTCCCCATCCTCACAATTGCATGAATTTAATGACAATGCCCCATCATACAAAATTCAGGAGGTAATCTTTTGTTTTTATTTTACTACTTTGGTGAATTAGTGTCATTTGTGTTCATCTGTAACACAATTTGAAGCATTCTGCCAAAAAAAACCAAAACAATATAATTATATCAGTTAAGAATATGCCAAGCAAGAAAGGAGATATTTTAGGGGCAGAAACATTACAGAAATGAACATTCACATATACTCATGGATTCACAAAGATCTTTTCTGTCAATCTACATATCGTCTTTGTGCACCAAGACCTTATCATACCAGGAAAAAAAAATAGTTAAATTATCTACTGATCAAGTTCCCTTGCAAGTGAGTAAACAAGGAGATGATACTTCTGCTGAATTTCCATTATATGATTTACTAATGGAGGGAAATTTACAAATTTTAAGTCAAACTGAAAGGAGAACACATAGCATAAGACAGAGGTTGAAGAATGTTTAATTTTAACATTTTATCTAGTCATTGTTATTGATGTTAATTGAGTATAATTTGTATGACAACCCTTTAGTAGGGGAGCTGCTGCTATTTGTGATTTATAGGTGAGAAAACTGAGGCATGACAATATTAAGTAATTTGTATGTGGTCACACATTTTAAGAACCCAGAGCTAGGGTTTGAACCTAGTCATATCAGCTTTGTAGTCCATACTCTTCATGCTCCGCTAAACAGTTGTGCTGTGGTAGATGTAACCCATAGGTAGACCATTTAAAAGTTTAGAAATTGAGATTTAGTATCCAAATTCTGAGAAAAGCCAGATAGACATGTTATGCTTCACATAAGTCATGTGCAAAATGTTAATAGTACCTACCACATAGGAAATTGTGAGATTTAAATTAGTTCATATGTTACTAAGAGCATGATATTTTATAATAGTACCTATTTTTCCAAAATGCAAAAGCCAAACTGAGCACTGGATATACACACTCATTGATACTTGGATAGCTGGTTAGACTGATGATTAAATAAGCAAATAATAAATGATCATATCTCCCAGATTTCAGAGGAATGAAAAGAGATTCACCATTAATGAAGGAGATCAAAGTCATTGTTAAATGAGGATGTGGAACGGGAGATATTGCTGTGTCTATCTACCAAATGCAATCTACCAAACACAAACTTCCATTCCTTGTTCTTTGAATGACTAACAAATGTTTGTATTAGTCCTTAGAAATTCTCAGCTGGGTAAGGTGGTGCACACCTATAATCCCAGCAGCTCAGAAGGTTGAGGCAGGAGGAATGTGAGTTCAAAGCCAGCCTCAGCAAAAGCAAGGTGCTAAGTCACTCAGTGAGACTGTGTTGCTCAGTGGTTAAGTGCTCCTGGGTTCAATCCCTGGTACCAAAAAAAAATAAATAAACAAATAAATAGATAAAATAAATAAATAAAGAAAAAGAAAGAAATTCTCAAAGTGTCTAGACTTCCTGAGATCACACCCTTTTCTTAATCAATTAATTATGAAATAAGTACTCATCATATCCAAAAGTTTTCTGAATTTGGGGGAATTCCCTGTTTAATGACTCAATGGAAATCAGATTCTTTAGCTTCAGGCAACCAGAGTAACAGTGCATTCCTTGAGGTCAGCCAGCTCAATATCCCTTTGGCCTTTGAAGCTAGATCAGGCAGCATCAAAACCTGGGGATAAGACCGGGGGTGTAGCTGAGTGCTAGAGTGCTTGCCCAGCGTGTATATGACTTTGGGTTCATTCTCTAGAACCAGAAAAAAGTAAATAATAAAATAAAATACCTAGGGATAGGTAGATGCAACCATATGGCTGAGTTCTAGAGATGGAGCGTGAGAGGAAATGATATATGAACCTCCATGAACTAGAATGACACTAATGAGCAAAGAAACTCCATTTCCCTCTTTTTCCCCCTTTCTCCAAATAAAATTGAAAAAATAAACCTCTCTCTACTACATTGCATTCTGTAAATCATTTAAAATTATTTTGAGTGAAACATTTCCCTTAGCTCTTCTTGGATAATGTTGGAAAAAATTATCTCTCTCCAGAGCATTAATTTTATTTTGAACCCACAGTGGAAATTAAGGACATAATAAAAATTCCAAGTAATATTTTGTTCCCTTAATTGAACTCTAGGAGAGTGAGTGAATGTGAGTGTGTGTGTGTATACGTGTATGTGTGCACACATTATATATATATATATGTGTGTGTGTGTGTGTGTGTGTGTGTGTGTGTGTGTATATATATATATATATCATATATATCATAAAAACTAACAAAATTGGACTGTAAGGTTCATATTGTCAATGAATATCCATCTAGATTACTCATATTATTTCAAATGTTATCATTTTAAAAACACAGAATTTGAGAAGGCAATGCTTATAGCCACTTATAAATTATTAAATAAATTTTTATATTTATTAGTGACCCAATTCCTGCTCCTTTGATGTACTTGACCAAGCATTTTATTTTACTGGCATAAACTTGGCACATCCAGCCCATCAATAAAAGAGGCTGTGTCTTCAGGATGTTTTTCCTATAATGTGATAGGTTTGTCATGTCTATTGAACTTTCCTAACCAAATGTTAGTTATTTGTGAGATTGCGGGTTAGAGTTGGGGCTGTGGATAAATAGTGTAAGAGAAGCTGGGCCTGGCGGTGAATGCTTGTAATCCCAGCAACTCAGGAAGCTGAGTTGTTCAAAGTCAGCTTTGGCAATTTGGCAGTCCCTGCCTCAAAATGAAGAGTAAGAAGGGCTGGAGGTATAGCTCAGTTGTATAGCACACCTGGGTTCAATTCTTAGTACTGGAAAAAAACAAAAAAAAAAAAAGTAAAAGGAAAACTTATTTACTTACATGGAGATAAAAAGCCTACATTTTTTGTATCAATCCCATAATCCAGACAACGAAAACCTATCATATACTTGAATGGATTACTTGTACCCCAAAAAATATTCATTTTTTTTTGTTTGTTTTGATACTGGAGATTGAACCCAAGGGCCCTTAATTACTGGGCTACATCCCTAGCCTTCTTTTCATTTTTATTCTTTATTTTGAGACAGGACCTTACTAAGTTTCTAAACTTGAGTTGCTGGATTACAGACATGTGCCACCATGCCTAGTACCATTTGTTTTCAGAGTTTTATATTTCTACATAGTAGTTGGGTTCATCCCAACAAAATCATACTTACATGGAATTCTATTCAGTTCATGATCTCCCCCCTTTTCTTTCCCTTTTTCCCTCCCATTCTCCCTCTCCTCTCCCATTCTCCTTCCTCCACTCTGCTTAGACTTCCTTTTGCTCGACTTTATAATGACAGTTCACATGTGTACAAGTTCATCAATATTCCAGATGCAGAGGCGAGTGTCTACTGGAGAACGGGACAATTCATTTCATTTGTTTAGTACATTACACTTTTCAAAGCACATTCTACTAACACTTAAAACTGTCTAAAGTAGGGATTATGTGACAGATGAGGAAAGTGAGGTTCAAAGATACTGACTTGCCGCAGGTTTTTTTTTTATATATATAAATTGTAAGTTTCAAAACCAGGAAATAAGAGCACATCATCTGACAGTACTCTGGGTAGAATATCAAAGAAATTCCCACATAATTTTCCATTGAATTTTGCAATTATCCTTCAAAAGTCCTCACCTTGGCAAACAAAAACTTTTAAATAAAAACTAATAACATTTAGAGCATTGACATTTAACATTGAATCTATTGGTCAGAAACTTCCTGACTCACAACTAGAGATTTTTTTAAATGATAGAAAGAGGGCTGTTAACATGTTGTGATGTTCTTTCTTTCAGCCATAACTTTTCTTGTAAGTTTATAGTTATGGTTTAGCTTTGGAGTACAAAGCAGTAAAATTTAATTGAATAGAAGTCAGATCAAGGTCTTTCAAGTTGGACATAATGTGAGTCACACAAATAAAGAAGAATAAACAATATTTCTGAAATTCAGCTAAAAAAGACCCTCGTGGAAAACATAATCATTAATTTATAAAATCTCCCCACCATGAAACATATTTTGTGTGACTACATGGCAATGTCTATAACTATTATTGAGAATGAAAACTATACCATAAAACTCATATCAAGAGACTCAAAATTTATGCCCTTCCTTTCCAACCCAAGGTAGGGGCAACCAAATACCCCAAAAATATTTGGGAGCATCTCAGATTTTTTTTCTATCTTGGAGCAGAAGAAGGAATGACTGTCCTATATAAAATCTCTTACCAAGTCAGATTAAATATATTAAATATAATAAACATAAAAATGCAGTTTTCCAGCCTGATTGCCATTGCACTTTAAATTGAAGCCTTCTTTTTCTGATAAAAAAAATACGCATCACTCTGATGACTTTGGAATGTTTCCAAACATGACTTTGATGTTATATTTTGCCTCATGCTATTGTAGTGATAAATTTTTCTCCTTACTTCGGAGTCAATGCTGTCTGACCCTGGAGTTAGTGAATGTGCTAATTGTCATAAGTATCAAAACCAAGATGATTTAATTAAATTTGATAGGCTGAATATCATTAAGATGACCACTTTCTAATCCTGGAATTTAAAATATGTTCCCTTAAAAGGTAAAGTGGAACTTTGCAAATGTGATTGGGTTAATCACATTTGCAAAGTGAAATGGGGCCATTATTCTGGATTATCAGGTAGACCCCATGTATTTACAGAGTCCTTAAGAGGAAGCAGTAAAACATTTAGGAAGAAATTCAACAATAATATAGACATGAGCAATAGTATTAACCATCTAAACCTAACAGATAATATTCAGTCAACAACAGCAGAACAAATTCTCCTCATGTACACTTGGGGTAG